TTAGTTATTGAGTCTTCCTGTATAGTAAGTCTCATTAACAGCACGGAGTTGGGAAGTTGGCGGTGTTTCACCCCCGTGCCTCGGAGAGCACGTAAAGCCGTCGGTCCTGCGCCTTAACTCTCACCGGTCGTGTCGAGTGGTCGTCCCACCGGAGTATGAGAGTGATAGGAATAGAGAGTGCACTTGTGTCTGCGCGTACACTTGAGCACTATAATATCTCCTGCGCAGTTGGCTAATCTCATTGAGATTGGCCGCCGTGGCCGGAATTGGCTAGGAGAACATCATCATTTATTTTATAGTAAGTGTAATACCAAATTGTATACACAAACTTAAAAATATATGCCAGTGCTAACTGTCCTCGTAATATTTATACATATAAAGATTTATATATTACCTAGGTACTAATGACTCACCCTCGCTTCGCACGGATTCGTCCGTAGCTTGCTTCCCAATACAAACTTTTACCCCCTTAAGGAATGGTTTCTTGGATAAAAAGTATCCTATGTCCTTCCCATGGTCTTAAACTATCTTCTTAACAAATTTCATCTAAATCGGTTCAGTAAATCCAGAGATTACCAGCTACAACCTCAAAAACTCACAAACTCACAAACTTTACCTTTTTATAATATTAGTATAGATTTTGACAAAACTGTCGATTTCTTTGTTATGATGAAGAAACTGAACATCAATCTGTCAACTCACTCTTTTATTTTTTAACCCAAATTTCATACTTATCCTTACAATTATTCAAATATTTCTTTCACCCAAACCTTTTCCAGACAATTACAAACACAATAAAAAAAAGAATTAGCCAAAAAGGTGCAACCGTTCTGAAATAGTTCGGTTACATACATTTGGCAATCGATTTTTATTTTTATAGATAGAGAAAGCTTTACTTTAGTGTTTTCTTTAATTGATTGATGAATTCAAAGTGTTACAACTTACAAGTCTGTAAGATGTCTGTCAACTAGGTTCCTCCAGCGGAGTGTTAGAGTGGCGATGATTCTTTTGCGAGGGGACAAATTGTGCGAGCCCATGGGAAATCTACGGTTATTAGCTGTCAATCATCTCAGATCGAATCTCCCCATAATGATTACATGTCGTGCGGAGATTTTTATTTATGTTATTTTGGTATTATGAAACAGCTTGAAATTTTATTTTAAGATTTTAAAAATTAACAGTATTTATATAAGTTGTACATTTTAAACAGTAGTACGAGTATAGAGTGCGTGTTTCTTTAACTCATATTTTATAATAATTATAATTGAATTATGAATAGTCATTCTTTTGGCGTGTCGTAACCTTTCAAAAAACACATAGTAAACACGGAACATAAATAAAAGTTTTATTAAAATATATATAACCAACCATAAAAATTCTAACACTTATTCTGCAAAATCTTACTTTAATTCAAGACTACTTAAATCTTGTCAAAAGCTCCTACCAAAAGCTTAACACTATGCCAGTAAAATATGCAAAATCCATAAAAACATCCGTTAACATCGAAAAACAAAAGACAAGTTCAGAAGCAGTTTATAAATAAATGAATTGCCTTATCCGCCACGTTAAATATTAATGATCATCCCCATTACTTCGAAAGCTTCTACGGACGGACCAAATTTCTTCTTTCCGCATCATATATTTACTGGAAAAGACCAAGTTTTTACAGTTTTTTAAGTAGATACTTAAACTTTTAAGAACGCTCCTACAATATCTTGAAATTAGTGTCCCATGGCAGTTTTGGAAGCTTATTCTTAAATTGATAGAGTTACTAGAAATATTAGTGTTAAGCGCCATCTTGGTTGGTATCTATTATATACAGTCCAATAGATTCATTATTACCGTCAGCTATCGAACGCAATAATTAATTAATTTTTCATTGATTTAACTACAATTATATTACATTATATACTTTCTGGACTAAACTTGTAATATTAAAAATTATACAAAATGAAAAAGATACGCAGGTGAAATATAATTTAAGAATACTTTCATACTAGGAATTTGTACCATGTTAAAACATGAGACACATCTAGCAACTCGTGTACCCAATATCTATTTCCGTTTGTTCTTCCACTAATCATAAGGGCGATTGACTAAAAGGCAATAAATCCAACTCACCGCACAATACATCACAACACTCCACCATCCCTAATTACGGGATACCATAAAATTTACTTTGAGGTAGGTACTCTTACTTGAGTGTGCACTTCATTCATGATTTTAAACATTACACCTATCTACTTTTATTACTAAATATTTAAAAAAAAATCTGAACGCTTATTAAGTATATGGCTCTGACATAAAAATTGCAATTCATCCTGTGTTGTATAAAAAAAATTAGTAGGACGTGTGTTATTTTAATTTGAATAGTCATCAAAGTATCTTCATATTCTTACCTGCATATATGTACTTCTTAGTTTACACCGTTAACTACATTGTTCGGCAGCAGAATAAAAGAGAACAGACTGAATAATGGGTAAAATATTATGAAAAATCGCCTTTTCTAGACTATAATAAACGTGTTTATGTTCAACATGAACACTTGTCCCGTAAGGCAGTCGTATTCAGACTCAGGCCCTACTAGACATGACATAAATTTGAGAAAATTATATCTTTTCTCAATTTTGTGTTCCTTGACAATGTACAAAAAGCCTACCATTCCGCCTTCTCCGCAGATAACCATGTATGTAAATAGGCACAAAGCTTCGATAATCAACAAATGGGATATATCGTCTAACATAACCCATTAATGTCCAACAGTATTGCGTTACACGCGTCATTAGGGGCTTTATTAATAGACAATGGAAGGGTTATCAAGATTACGCGATAATGCCTGATTGTTGACGCTCATACGTATTGTATGGATACAAATATGGGATTTATAAGCCCCAACGTGATAGTCGTAAGGGTTGCTTAATATGTTTATATGTTTGTTGCGATTTGAATATAAATTTAACCTATTAATCTTCTATTTTAAAAATCCTGTTCAAATCAGGCCTCTCTTCAATACGAGCGGGATCACGCCATAGTCCACCACGCTGGCCAAGTGCGGGTTGGCGGACTTCACATGTCTTTTAAAAACTTGCTTGGTACTCTCAGACATACAGGTTTCCTCACGATGTTTTCCTTCACCGTTAAGACAAATGATAATCATGTTGGAAATGATTCGCACATGAAAATATCAGAGGTGCGAGACCCGGGATTTGAACTCCGCTTCACTCGGTTTCCCAAGCGAGCGCGTTACCACTGGGCTACCACTGCGTAAAATACCTAATATTATAGTAATTAGAAAATGATTCCAAATAATCAAATGATTCAAATCATGTGATATAAGACATAAATCATTAGGCCCCGTAAAATCATTTAGTTACTAAAAATGTATTATATTAAACTACCGGCATAATTATAATTACGTATAATTTCATCTCATTAATACTGGACATTCCATAGATTCTGACCGGGTGATTTGTCATCATAACGCGCCACCAATTAGCATGCTGGCAAGACACGCGAGCCTGACAAATGGTCACGTTGGCACGCCATCTCAACTAACACCAAGTTTAATTAATTCAAATGTTTTAGAATACACCGGGATGTATTCGAAAGAATTATTGCAATCTTTATAGGAAAAGTAATTCAAAGTTATATAACGCCAGATGACTGGCTTTCAGTGCGGCATAAGTGGTACAGGTATTTTAGCTCCAAGCAGCAGATTGAATCCTCACAGGGACAGGTTCCGTCCTAATCTACGCCACTGAGTGAGAATAGCCACTCGTAAAATATACAGCTTTACACTAGTCAGCTACTACGATCTGCCTTGAAATGTAAACAACGAAAAAATTAACAAATTATATCATCACACGAATGAATCATTCACCTAAATACATAATTAAAGATTATTTTTTTATCAATTGTAACTGCCACCTGCAGATCCACGTGCTTAGATTAAGTTTTACAAATAGCTATGTTCCTTTTTTGCCTCAGTGACAACTGTTATCTGACAGGTAAACAAAAAAAATCTTAATAATGCTGATTTAGTATTTATTACATTAAAAACATACCCAAACACAATATTTTTGAAAAATATTATAAAATCTTTGTATATTTAAAACGCAGAAAAAAGTTATCATTTAAATTTCACTAAAAACGTGAACCAATAATTCGAAAAATATTTTTCATAAGCAAGACAATTTGGAATTAAATCCTTCCTCTATAAATCTGTTGTAATAATTGATTACAATAATAATAACATATCAATTATCTTGTCAACTTCACTATTCATATTGATATGTTGGTAAGATCTGTGTTTAATTAAACAATTTGCGGGGCGGCTCCCTTTGATTTACGTTTCTACCTTGCATTGTTACAAGCCACAAATGACACGTACCTACTCGTATGGTTATCGCTAATATCGGATACTTAATGTGGAAAAGGTTTTAACTTTCTTCAAACCATATAACAATCAAAACTTTCCAAAAAAAAGAAAAAATTAGTGTTCCTACTATCAAATTTACATATTACAGTAAACTATATAATTGGTCTATACAGTTTATTGTAAAAAAATATATAGTGTAACTAGCGGACCCGACAGACGTTGTCCTGTCTACACGTCTTTAATTTGAAAATTTCAAACTTTTTTTAATAATTTTTTTGATGAAAATTATTATTCAAATTGAGAATCTAAACTATTCCCAGATCCCCTTGAACACACACAAAAAATTTCATCAAAATCGGTCCAGTCGTTTGATCTCTCAAACGTTCAGTGACATACACACTCACAGAAGAATGATATATATAAAGATTATTAATAATACAATATTTCAAAATGTGTACTGTACGTCTTTTTATATACATATTATGTGCACGCCTTATATGTACAATTGACACTTGAAACATATGTCAAAAATATAAAACTCATCATGTCATATTATGTATTTTTAAGCGCTTATTTAGATTAATTTACGATATTTAGAATGAAAATACACATAATTATTATAATGGTTTGTGAAACATTTGGCAACTACGTTCCAGAAGCTGGTTCACCCAATGTTGGAACAATCTTATTTAATCGTGATGATTTAAATAATCGTCAATGGAGTAAAGCGAAAATAAACCTACTACAAACTCGAAAATATTTTCAAAATTTAATACCCTCTCCGCATCTGTTAAGGACGGTAAATGAAAATTATCTTGATTATCTATTAACATATTATCAAGACTCCTATAATACTGTCAAACGTGAAGTGAAAAATATTCGTCTTAAAAAAATGGTGGACGTCGCACTCTCAGATGCACTTGGAGGTTACCTCAAAGTATGGATTTTGCCGATCACTAAATACGCCTACTACGGTGGAAGTGTGTCTATGGAGAAAGCCGTTAATATATTTCAAGTTTACGATAAGATTAAGAGAAGTCTCAATACTGATGGACACAACTGGCGCAATCCAAATGAGAATCTACTCAGGTCAGTCGCAGTAGACATAGTTTCTAGACCTCGTCCGACATTTACGAGAAGTATGGAAAATCCGTGCAAACTTTTATCGTTATATGAAAAAACTGATAGTGATTTAAAAATTCCTTTGCCAATAGTAAACTGGGACGTCCAACCAGCTACGCTTCTTTTGCCCCTTAAAGATAAGTCTTTCACATCACTAGACTCCCCAAATTCATCTCAAATAGTGTTACAATATTTTGACATTGCTGAAAATTGCATAAAAAGTCAAAATGTTCAAAACTTGGATGATTTCAATAAAAGGTTTCAAGTTTGGCTTTCAAATAATATTATGCCACACTTAAATGATGACAATTTGTATTTACCATTCGGAAGTATCCTTACCTTAGCGAATACAACGAAACAATTTTATGGGAAAATATGTACAAGCTATAAAGACAAATGTAAAAAATTACAGAGTAAAGCAGAAATTCTGGGGTTACCTCAACAAGTGTCTTTGAAAAAATATATTATAATCACAATAATATTATTAATTGAAATAATTTGGTGTGTACCATCATTATTCTATCTTATGCGCTTAAAGAAAAAGAAAAAGACTACTAAAGAAAAGAAGCCATTTTTCAGATTTTTTAAAAAGAAACTTACGTTTAACATGCAGAAAATGTCACAATATAATTTTGAAAATAATAATTTTCAAGGACCCAGAAAAGATCTCGGTACAAAAGTATTTGTCGAACCGAAAGCAAGAAATTTAGAAGTTGCCTTACAATTTCCTTCTCACGAATCTAAGTATACTGTAGGCAAAAGAAGCAAAGCAACACATTCTAATGCATCTTGTAAAGAATTGAAATTAGCAAGAGAAATTCCAGAAACATGTCCGTTAAAACAAGAGTTTGCCTCAACATCACCATTTAATGATGAAACAAATTGTCAATGTTATGAAGTATGTGAAAATATAATAAGTAGCATAACTCCTTCACTTAATCGTAAAATGGGAAGAACATCTGAACTTAAAGATTGCAGAACTTCAACTATGATAAACAAACGCACAATTAAAGAAGTCTTATATGCTCAAAACAGTAGTGTTAAAAAGTCAATCAGTACATTAGAAACTAAATGTGGCAAGAATAATGAAATTATTTTACAAAAAACCTCAGTTCGCATTCCTTGCCTAGAAGAAAAAAATAAGGAAAACAAAATAAAAACTAATACTAATACAGAATCCAAAACTAAATCTTTGAGAACAAAGCATAATGATAATAAATATGGTAATAAATATGTGAAGCAACAAGTAGATCAGAATTCTGAAACTAAAAAACCAAAAACTAATGAGACAAATATATTTAAAATAAACAACGAAAGAATTCAATATTCTAAATTAAATGGTGATACACGCATTTTACGGATTAAAATAGACAAACCTACCAAAATAAGAGTGGGGATAACGAATGTCAAAGAAGTAGCTGGAAGCAGTAGGAAACCGAGTAAAATTCCCCGATTAGCTGTCAAAAATAGCGTAAAAGAAGCATTACGGAATATCAATAAACCTATTAATATTAAACCTTCTCCAAAAATCACAAATATAAAATTGAATAGTCCAAGAATGCAAAAGACAAATTTAAAAATAAAGCAAAACGCTTTAGACGATAGTGCTATAAAGCGAACCTCGAAAGTAGCAAAAAAAATAAATGTCACTCTATAACAATTTTGTGATTATTTTTAACTGCATTCAGAATAAGTTTACATGTATTTGTTTTATATGTTCAGATTATTATACTTATATGCTTTAAGTTTGTAGAAATATCTTTAGATAAATCTTACTTTTATCCTTATTAAAAAATATTTTAACTTACCTTCGTAATTGTTTTAACTACATTTGTTATAATAGTAGTAGGTATATGTATTACTAGTCTATCTGTGTGATAAATTTCATCCAAATATGGCCGTTTCAGCGTTAAGGAGTAACAAACATATACACATACAAACTTTCGCATTTATAATAGTAGTTGAATAAATTTATCAGATTCTACCAGTAAAAAAGATCATATCTTTATATAGAAGTGTTCTCCACACCAGTCCCACTGTTTGCGCCTCGTACTAATCACCCTGACGAATTTATTGGCTGCGATCCGGGTGAATTATACCCGGTAGTACCCGGATGAGTTACTACATATTTTACTGCTCAGGTGGCCGCGGGGTCCGGTAATCTGTCATTAGCTCCACTTAGCAAATTGACTGCTCGGGCTAGAGATTACTTTAGATCATTTTGTACATATTAATAAGCATGGTGGACTCCAGACCAGCTGTCTTAATTTTAATTATTAAATTTACCATAAGCTCATTTATTTTTACTGAGTTATGAAGAATACGTCGGAATTATCTTGTTTAATTTTCAGTACAACATCTTACTGGTTTCAGATAAATTTATTAGAATTAACCTTTCCAAGACATTTCTAAACAATTGACAACAATTTAATCACGGCAAAGACTTATCGGATAGGGTGACCAGTCCGCTATAAATACCGTCTAATGTTGTGGGCTTACGACCAATTTTGCGGGATAATCTCCGATTGACATGGAATTTGGGGCAATTGTCCTCAATACAGAGTAATTTATATTCACTACTACTATTGTTAAAGTAATTATTGATCTGTGACAGGAGTGTCGTTATAGGAAATCCGGGAGGTCTCGTATTATATATTGCCTTAAGACTTTTTTTACATGTATTATGTTTATGTTTTGTATTGGTCACAACACTATTCGATCTGAAATTATGTAAATATAATGGTTGAAATAAACATTATTATTAATTAATTATTATTAGTGGTATCTAAAACAAATTAAATTATCTTTTATTGTCTTATGATATCATTCCAAACCAAAAAATTAAAAGATATTTTATTATGTAATAATATCCAAATGCGCCTACCCTATATGAAAATATTACCCATATAAAATCTGCTATTACCCAAAACAAATGTACTTCTCGTGATAATCCCACAAAATTAAATAAGCATATTGTACAGATGGGTAGCGCGGTCATCGCTGATTTATAGCGCTCAGACCCGGGATTACTCTGAATTCCTCTGTTATCCACTGGCTTTCCTTTGACTATAGCTTAATTAAATACTTTGCGTTAAATTTTATGTATTTTTGCACGTATTGCTTTGTTTTTTAATCTCAAATATTTAAACATTAAAAAATAACAATTTATATGTATAATATAATAATTAACATTTTAAATAAAACTATTTTTTCATATTTGTTCGCTGGATTTTTTAGAATTTTTGTTCCCGACGTTTTGAATGCTACAGTAATGGTCACGGGAGAGGCTAAGATTTTAAAGTTGTTATAGACAGCATCTACCCAGAAAATTATACAATTATCAATATCTTTCTTTTTCCTTTTCTCGTTTTTTTGACATTAACACACAGCACCATCTAGTTCCATGGTAAAATACGAGGCTTGTGTTATGGATGATGTTCTCCTAGCCGATTCCGGCTACGGCGGCCAATCTCATTGAGATTAGCCAACTGCGCAGGAGATATTATAGTGCTCAAGTGTACTCTCTATTCCTATCACTCTCATACTCCGGTGGAATGACCACTCGACACGACCAGTGAGAGTTAAGGCGCAGGACCGACGGCTTTACGTGCTCTCCGAGGCACGGGGGTGAAACACCGCCAACTTCCCAACTTCGGGCTGTTACTGAGACTTACTATACAGAAAGACTCAATAACTAAACTTGGCCCGACCCGGGACTCGAACCCAGGACCTCCGGGTGTGCAGCCGTACATGCTAGCCACTACACCACCGAGGCAGTTATGGATACCAGATAGTTGACTACTACACATATATAACTATAAATATATACATATTATAAATATATAATGATATAAAAATATACCATAGATTTAGAGCTAAGTATTTGAAAGATACATTAAAATCTTTAAACTAAGCTAGAAACTTAAGTATATTATTCAAAAAAGTTATTCGTGAATGAAAAAAAAACTTCTACAGTCATAAATTCCCTGCTCTCATAAATCCTGGCACACTCGCGCGCTATCAGCACAAAGCCAAAAGAACTCCTTAAATTAACCCGTTGACAACGAATTGCCTGAAACACCCCAAAAACGTCGCCAACTCCTAGACGTAATTTAACCAACCCTTGTTTGGAAACTCGAGATTTCGATATGCATCTGCAACCTTATCTTACTTCCCCTCCCACCAGGAATAAGGCTTGCTTTCCTGTAAAAGATTAGATTTTAGTAACTAAACTTAAGAATAAAAATATACTGTTTGTTATTATAATATATTATAATTTAATCGATTGTATTTACCTAAATAAATAACGTGTTTTCTTTAGATTTACTTTTAAAGTTATACAGACGAGCACCTCTTCGAACTGTCGCATTTAAAATACCGTATTAGGTTGTAAAAAATTGAAATAATATGGACAAATGATGCATCAATTATAATGAATGAATTTTGGTACAATTTTTTTCTTTTCTTATATTATCTTCTTATGTTAATCAGTTTGGTATAATCTCAATAGGTTTCTATAAGCTCTTAGTGGATAGCATGTCCAAAGGAAGTAAAAGACGTGGATGATAAAGTGTAATGCGACAAGGTTGTTGGACGAGCAAATAATTTCCTTTCGTAATTGTGGCAGATAGGTGTGTTCGTAATTAAAGGATGGTAACGAGCTCCTTCGGGACCTGCTCTTGATATCGCTGAGACAGGTCTCTTAGATAGGGAAAGCTAATATTTGTAAAGATTATTAACTTATGTGACTCTAAAATCATTTGATATTTATACATATAATAAAATTGTAACTGAGTCGAATCTGTACATTAAATATTTTTTGAAAAATCTTATTGAAATAGTTATTATTATCGATACAACGACCGAAGTTTAGTTTTTAGGATTTTTGTCTGTTTATCTGTCTGGGAAGGCAGCACGAGAAAACTACTGGACAGAGTTTGATGAAATTTGGTATGATGATAGCTGGTTGTCCGGATCAACATATACGCTACTTTTCATTGCAGGTAATTATCTCACCTCTGAGAAATTTAGACTAACCGTTAAAACGTATATAGGGAGAATCTCGAGCGGAGCTAGGATGAGTCGCTAGTATACATTAGTATAAAAATATGTAATTTATTCACAAAACGTTTCATTTTGTGTTCGATATTTTTAAGTTTTTCCTTATTATCAAATAACGTGATATAGAAAAAAAAACTATGAAAATATTCTTGTAAAACATATTTTGTGTGTTACAAACTTACAAAAAGTGAGTTGAATAAAACATTCTGGCAACATCAGTAAATAAAAATAAATGTTTGTAATTAACTATCTTACTTTTTCTCATTTAACTTCTCAATTAACTTATTAATTATTTTGCACTCAAAAAGAGAATCGTTACTCTCACTCACTCATCTTTAGAACTATTTGTAGAGACGTTCAACTAAACAACATTGTGTATCCATTTTAAGTAGAACCTTATAATCTAAATCCACTAACTTTGGTGTTTACAAAACTGTGAAAGTGAGAGTTTATTTTAACTTGGTGGTGATAAATAGCAAGGGGGCTTAAAACAAATTAATCACGGGTCCAATTTGGTGGAACAATGCTTGGTTGGAATGAGTGGGATTTCGTTATTGCGAGCAGGTTACGGTGACAAATAGTAATAATTAATTACCGCTGCTGCTAATAGTATTATTGAATTAAAAGAAACAAACTCTTGATTTTGCTTACTACATATAACTTAGGTACACATATAAGTTTTGCTTAGAAGCTCGCTATAGTAGTATACGTAATCTTAATATTAATATTTTGGGATATTAACACACAGCACCATCTAGTTCCATGGTAAGCTACGAGGCCTGTGTTATGGATACCAGATAGTTGATACACTACACATATATAACTTTAAATACATACATATTATAAATATAAACACACATGACTGGAGTACAAACATTCGTGCTCATCACACAAATGAATGTCCCCAGCGGAACTCGAACCCGCGACCGCTGGCACGGCAAGTAGGGTCACTACAATCTGAGCCAAACGTGTCGTCAATAAAAAGAATTAATTTAATGTTTTACTATTCCACCTGTTTTAGCTTTTTAATTCACTTTTCTTGTTAATAGCCTGAAAACGTGGCAGTTAAGCACAGATAATTCACCAATATCACGTAGAATGGCGAAGATACAAAGGAGTTTGATCGGTAATATCAATTATATCAAATAATGTAACAGAATAAAAATATTTGTTGAGATTTTTATGACTACCAATGATCAGGAACCTTAATAAGCATACAGGGGCTAACAACATGCTCTGGGTTTGGAGCTAAATTTTTCTATTTCATCTGGCCTTGGCTTCTTTTTTTTCATTCTTTAAAGTTAAGTCCAAAAGTTTCCTTTCTTAGCTAATAGATGTTATGGTATATGAAATTAGACCTGATAACTGATAATCTGGAAATCTTACCACTATATATTTACCATTAATTAGCTACAAACTCATATATGTTATCAAAATATTAACCTTCTAAATCTAGTAGTTTGCTCTAGGCATTGTTAAATTATTTATTTATTACACTTTTAACCGATTTCCAAAAAGGAGGAGGTTATCAATTCGTCGGAATCTTTTTTTTTTCTTTTTTTTATGTATGTTCACCGATTACCCGAAGACGCC